ACACACACACACACACACACAGAGAGAGAGAGAGAGAGAAGTAGAAACATAAACTGGCATGTATGAGAATGAAAAGGTCAATTTCCATTGACTGTACTGACACGAGACTGGAAGCACTACACAAAACCATCTATACCACACCACTTCAGAAGACAAAAGAAGGTAAAAAGTTCAACCCTAAATGTGACTCCCACCATAAATAGACTCAACCACTGTGGACCACACAATGATGGCAGAGCAAACGTGGCGATGTGGGTCTTTTTTCAGTATGTACGTGGTGTTTAAAATGTTTACACGACTGAACACACCGATGTGGAACTATGTGAGACGACATATGGGATTTCTCTCTCTCACATGGGGAGCGAGGGAGAGTAGACAGAGAGAAACACAGATGGATTACATCTTTCCTCTTTTCTCACAGCTGAAGACCATCCCTTGTCAATTTCACACTCATTCTTGGCTTCTCCCACCAAACACATGGACACAGACTGACTGTCCAAGATACCATGAGGCTCAACTTTTGGTTAGTGCTTGAAAGTTATTTCACCTTCTTCTTTCTCTCAGTTTTGTCATCGTCTTCAGGCCACAAATATCTACAATTTCCTATGTATGTGTGGAACAGCCAACGCTGAAGTGTTTAAGTGTGTGCATGCGTGAAAGTGTGCATGTTTACCTGGTTGCGTGTGGCAGAGTATTCAGGATTGACTGGTAGGAAGGGCACTGCGCTGCGTTCTGTTACCAGAGTGCTGTGGTTCTGGGTCGTAAGCCACACTGGAGACACAAATATGAAGCAAAAAATAAGTCGGGGTGTGTGTGTGTGTGTGTGTGTGTGTGTGTGTGTTTCTTTAAGCCACAAGGACGTTTTGGCTGAAACATGTGCAGTCAAACATTCAGTTCATCCACCCACACATACATAGAGACATAAACAAGCACAGTAGAAGAAAAAAATCAGTAGCTTTTAAAAGTGCTGCTCTGAGCACCTCCCACTGTGTGCAGCTGAGTGTATGTATCCTTGCCACTTACCTGCAGTGCTTCTGTCAGAAAGCACAATTGGACTGCTGCTGAAGAAAGGGGAGAGAAGAAAAGGAGAACGAGCGAAGAAGAGCAGAGGAGGAGGAGGAAAAAGTCTCAAGAATTTCTGAGGCACTTCCTCACAGCGACTCTCCTCCTCCCTCACTCACTCCATTTTGCCTTCCTCTTCAACGGTTATTTTCTTTTTCTCCTCCTGACTGTGTCCTTCAATTTCGCTCTCTCTCCTCTCAACATCTACTTTATCCAATACTCTCCTTTTCTCTAAAAGTTCATGTCAACTTTTCATAAATGGGTAAAAAAAATTATATCAAAGCATAAAAGGATATTTTTACTCAAGTAAGGATGGAGGAGATGAGGCTTACCTGCATCATTTTCTCTGCGATCCACCTCATCGTAGACATCCATCGCTAGCTCCTCAAACAGCCGATTATTGAGCTGTCACATGCAAGCAAATTGACCCCAGATATATCAACATGTATGTATTTATATATTTGTACATACCAGGTGTAACAAACAGTGTCAAAAACAGAGTAGAGGAGAACAGGCTTCATAAATGGAGTCTGGCCAAAATGGATATTTGGGGGTCGATGCTAACACCAAATTTAGGAAGTAAAAAAAATCTGATACTGATATATCGACCAATGTATATATTTTGAAAAAAATGGGCAATTATTCCTCAGATGTCCTCATCAAAATGTTATGACTAAGAAATGTTATATAATAGTTTTATAAAATGTATCATCAATTAAAAGAAAATGCAAATAGAACCATTCTATAACATTTGAATAAAGTAAATATACATATTTTCTCAGTAAAATGTAAACATTAATGAACATCTTTCGTGAATGGTTTATTCTAAAAATTTAATTTTCCATATAGGCACAAATCTCCAAAAATACACTGCAGTACCAATATGTGTGTAAAATGCCAAACAAATCCTTCAACGAATAAATCTGTGTGGTTCTAATGAAAATAACCTAATGTACATGTCATCTGTGCTTCAGTTTTTAAGATTTTACTTGGCGTGTTGTCTCATTGTCTGTCAACCATTAATTCTTTCCAAAACATTCAGTGCCGTAGTTTTACTTAAGTTATTTAAATTGTAATAACTAGCCATTAGGTCTCATTTTTTATTATTAACTCTGTGGGGTGACACAGATGGCTCTGGAGGGGACAAAATCTTTATGGCATGAAATGGTGAATCTGGCTGTAACACCAACTATTTTAACCAAGCACTTATCTTCTTTAAATTACTTCCAAAGACACAAATGGCTCAAACTATTGTATGAATTTGACCTAATACCTTTCAGTAGAATTGTATGTTAAACAAGCCAAGAGTTTAATATCACACTTTGACCCAACTCACCGCTTGGAGCTTCTTCTTGGCAGCCTTGGCCAGCTCTGACAGGTCCAGGCTAAAAGAAACACAGATGAGGTTCAGAGAGGCATCAGAAGGATATGGTGGGGCAAAGAGACAGGGAGGTAAATGTGGGAATGGAAAAAGGAGCAAGAGGTAAGGACTGGGAAGGGTGTTTTGCTAGAGGGGGGGGCGGGAAGAGGGAGGGTACATTGAGGGTAGGGTGGGTGTCAGATCAAAAGGTCTTAATATAGCTGTGAGTGCTACATTAACCTAAGAATAACCATCTGTGCAGTCCCAAGGACAGGGTGCATATGTGGTTTTAGTAGTTAATAGTAAAAATATCAGCATATGCTTGTTAGTCAGAATCTTCTTTTTTTCTTACAATATGCTGCTGTAGACCTATTTCACAGATATAAAAGTTACTTGTCAACAGTTTTATTGAATTTTTTTTATTCATTTTTTTAATGTAGACTAGACTTTTTCAAGGAAATGCTCACTGGGGATATATACTTATAGGTTAATGAATATATGGAAATAGCTGCTGTGATTCTCCTGAGAGCAGCAACACCTTGGTTACTGCAGGAGGCCCTCTAAACCTCTCCTGCATAATAACCTCCAGTCATCTATGATTCTTTCTCCTCAGAACTAACTGTAACTTTGATTTGTCATGATAACGCAACACGCAGCTGAAGAAGACGTTGTTCAATGAAACAACAGGGAACTCTACAAAAGATGGAGTAGCAGAGATGTGGTGAGGACAGCAATGAAGGACAGATATCTGGGACACAAAAGGAACAAGGAGAGTAAAGATACCTCTGTGTCGGGCACTTAGGACGAGCTCTGGCTCCACCAAGCACAGCGAAATGGAGAGAACAGAAAACGAGTGACAAAAAGAAAGAAACAGACAGAAAGAGGGGCAGAGAAGCCACATCAAAACAGCTTTAATTGTTATTTTCAAGAGGAACCATTCACCAGAACAGAACAGATGCAAGTGGAGTTAGATGGCAGCTTAGAGGCAAGATCTACTTATGTAATCATACACTTTGAGGTGTGCCTGGTTTAGGGTTGATCTGATGAACGATGGTATCGGTGACCAATCAGTGGTCTCTGTTTGGTATACCTGACAATATGTACAGAACTCTGCTGCCAGGGTTGTCACCTGCACTAAGCCCTGGCAGCACATCACCCCGACCCTCATTCACCTCCACTGGCTCCCGATAAAGGCCTCTGTGTGTGTGTGTGTGTGTGTGTGTGTGTGTGTGTGTGTGTGTGTGTGTGTGTGTGTGTGTGTGTGTGTGTGTGTGTGTGTGTGTGTGTGTGTGTGTGTGTGTGTGTGTGTGTGTGTGTTTGGAAGCAGCGAAAAACTTTAATCTGTCACTGCATCAATGCATCACAGTTCAGGTTCACTTCAATACATTGGTAAACCCAGAGAGCTTTGTGAACCATAATGACCTGAGTTTATTTGAAGCGTTCACATATGCACAAAAAATGCTGACTCGTCGCTCCAAGTGTGTTTGGAGGGCTGAAAGGGACCAAGTGGGAAAACGCCATGACTTTATCCAGTTACTATCAGTTACTATTTGCTAAACACTAACCCTTACCTTATCTAAACCTTGAAACATGTCTTCACCTTAATGTGAGCGAGTAAACAGATGTAGGTCCCCAAAACATGAGTAATAACTGGACCCCACACAGGTTTGCGCCGCTGTCCTTATTAGAAGTTTGCAATGATCTCCATTCATTGTGGACCACCTAACCAAAATTATATCCCTAACCTTAACCCCATGACCAATTAATCTCTAACCTTAACCTGGGCAAAATTCCCATTTTACCCCTAACCTTAATAAAGACCCCAAAATTGATGTGTTGCCTCATTAGGACCAGGCTTTGGTCTCCATGTTGTGTGTAAGTATGGACATATTACTTAATTTAGTTTCTTAGCTTGTTTACTTGTGATCAAACACAACATTTTTATTCCTGACAGAGGTACAAGGCACTGTTATTATTTTTGTGATGATGTGAAACAATGTCTTGTTTGTGATGACAAATGTATATGTTTATATGTTTTAATATAACATAGCACAATATTAATATGTGTACAATTTGACCGACTGTATTTTTTATCCTATTTAGGCCACATTTGTTTAAAATAAGAGAGCAAGAGAGAGAGACCTGAGGTTTGCTCTGAATGTAGGGTAGCACCCCCCACCTCACAGAGAGTAGCCTAGAAACTGAGCCAAGTGGCAGTAAGACTTGATTTACTGTGGGCTGACTGTGCACTTCTACACCTCTCAAATAAAACCTGTATATTAGGATTAATAAACCAAGCACACCTCCAGTACCTAAATCATCAGAGGTACCTGTAATAGCTTAGATAGGCATTTACAACAAACAGTAATCTTTGATATTGATGGTAAGAACCTAAGTTATCCAACTCATTTTTTGGGTGGAGTTACACATACTATGATGCCACCCTCTGGTCAGAACACTAAACTGCATCATTATCAATTATCCCATGTCAGGCAGACGCAAGTATAACAAGGCCCTGTCCCAATTCACCCCTTAGCCCTACCACTTAGCCCTACACTTTTGATTTGTGCGGGCCGTGAAGGGACACTCCATATCTGGGGTAGGGCCACGGGGGGGAATTAGGACTGAGCACAAGTCAGGTTGCTGTGAGGTTTAGTGATACCAACAAAGATACTTCATGCAATCCAGTCACACCAATGCCAATTCATGCACGAGTGTTCATAGTCATCTGAAGAGAAATTAATAATGTCATGGTCCATACCTGTCTGCCATTTGAGGAATGATATAATGCCCATTCTTGTGATCTGAGGAGAGGAGTGGAGATATTAATAGTTGTGCTTTAGGGCATTTGAGCTACATATGAACTGGTGCATAGAGTTACCTGGACGCCGTCCACACAGGTAGAAGGCTAGCCTGTCTGTCAGCTCATACTGACACTCCACAAGCCGCTCTGCTAACTCTATATGACCAGCCTGCCTAAAGCACACAAAACAGATTATTCTTTTTTTTGTTTTGAACCTAATTGAACTCTTACCCATTTTCACACAGTGGGTTTGATATGGAATTCCATTTAAAGGCTAACTGTGTTATTCTTGAAGTGTGTGTACACTGTCTTGTACCTTGCATAGTCCATAGGCGTACGTCCGTTAATGTCAGGTGCTCCAGGGTCTGCGCCGTACACCACTAAGAGCTCGGCCTGCAAGATCTGGCCTGCCTTGGCTGCTACATGGAGCGGGGTAGTGCCTTTTTCCTAGAAGTTCAGGTACACACACAGAGTCAGGACAAGAGGCAGGGCATGAGGAGAATAACTTAACACAAAAAGTGTTAGATGTCGTGAGTCTGCAAGCATATTTTGTCCTGACCGGGTGGAAGAAGTTCGCCTGAGCACCGAGGGACAGGAGCCGAAGACACGTCTCTAAACTCCCGGTTCGCACACTGGAGTGGAGTTGCTAATAGAGAGACAAAGAGAATGATTGAGGAAAGAGAGAGAGAGAGAAATAAAAAAGAGATGTGGAAAAGATTTAACATCATGGTAAGAAAGGCAGAAACCCCTCATTAGCTTACTGGAGCTCCACAGCATTAGAGATCATTACGTCCTGCTGTGACATTCAGATCACTTCCTGCCAGGGGGTGTTATCACTGAGTGTGTGCATGTGTATGTGTATGTGCACGCACGCACACGCACCCCCACACACAGAGGAGTATGCATGTTTATGTATGAGGTCTCCATCTAAAAGTAACATCCTTTGTGCTTACACATGCTGTTCTACTGCACAGCTATGTCTTTATGGGCTAATTAACCTGAACTCATAATGCATTGCCCCTGAGCTGTGAAATACCAAGCCCTCACCTTACTGAGGTCCTTGGTGGTGACGCCATCATCATCGCGGCAGGGCAGCTTGTGCACAAAGGCCAGCATCTGGTATTTGGCTCTAATGAACTCTGACTTAGTGGGACTGCACAGAAGGAGGTAAGATGGTTAGCACAGCTTTATCCAATGATAAAATATAATACCACAATTATTATCAATGTACCCAACAAGTTATGCATCAATGCATGCATTAAATGTCCTTCTTTTTCCAAATGCACTTGAAGCATCATCAATGTACAATGTTTGCTAGCAGATCCCTTTGAGATGTGAATAAACAAAGTATGCTATACAGTACATTTAGACAGTCTGTAACTTCCCTTTCTTCCCTGCAGGTCCAATTATTGATCTCATGACCTTCCCATAGCTATATCTAAACTAGAAAAACACTAAGCTGGCAAACCATATGCTGTATGTAATTATAAAACATTACTATGAGAGCAAATCATCAAAATTACTAAAGTAATCCATGACTACAAGAAAACAGTTTGGAAAGCATTAAGGAAAAACTGCACACTATTATGCTTCACGAGCAAAAACACCAATTACGTTCAGAAAGATTATGTTATGCAGCACAGGTAATTTCTTCCAGCAAAGGTGACAGAGGAGAAGAGGGGAGTGTGGAAGTGTTGTTTGTGTAATTCTACCCTGTGGTGAGTATACTTACTGGACTTTGTCCTGGGGGTTGGGTTTCCTTCGACCACTCTGCACCTGAGCAGGGTCCAGGAGACTGTGTTCCCATATGGAGTTGGCTCCATTACTGGCCAAGGTCTGAACCATCTGAATCACATATGTGCACACACACGCACACACACATACACACACAAACGTAGTTGTGAGTCATTGGTGGTACAACATATACGATAAAATTATCACCCTGACACCATCACAAGAATATTGAACTCCTTGCTCTGAGGATTATCAAAAACCTAAAAAGAAATATTAACATATTTTGGGCCTGAATTGACAGAGAAACCAACAAATGTTTGCAAAAAAAATAAGCAAGAAAACCTGTGGATGATCAACCTCTTTCTGTAGTAGTTCTGACATTCTGTGTAATTATTTTGGGTACTGCATTTGCTTAACTTGTATTCCATCACTCCCCTGCTCTTGTGTTCTTTTCCATCACTCTTCCGTTTCTCAGTCTTACCTGAAGTAGTGCTGGAGGCCATCCACTGTGCCTAAGGTGCTTGACTATGGAGATATGCCGCCCTAAGCTGCGGTGAACTGAACAGCATTCATCACAGATCAGGACCCCTCGGTTTATACTGGTCCAGCCGGGGTCTGACAGACAGACAAACAGAGGGATGTTACACAGGATTTATAAACAGGCGGTTTGTGATAGTTAGCCTGAAAGAATCTGAAGTGCTTCAACACAACATTCACTTTAGTAAAGGCTGCATGTAAAACTCCTCTCCTTCAAATACGTGCTCCTTCAAAATCCTAGCAGTGTAATGTGAAAGTTACAGTTTACTCTGGTGCCATTTTCCTCAGAGAGACATATACTCGATGTACAGATCTATAACATGTCCAGGCTTCATTCAAGTATAAGTCAAACATATGCTCTGTGCAGCAGAAAATGTTTAATGAAATATGTATGATGTATGAACACACAGATCAAGAGGCATTAAGAAGAGGAGCAGCACAGATTGTAAAGTACTCCAATCAGATTTATAAATCTTTAAAATGCAGCGAGGTACATGCATTTTAAAATTAGCGGCTGTTTGTTAACACAACCGCATTGAAGTTAACATAATTGCTTCACAAAATAGTTACAGTAAGGCCTGGGCATTTAAGATGTATTGCATATTCCAACGATCAAAATCAAACAATAGATCTTGAGAGTCAATATTTTAATATGGTTGTTTTGTCACACTAGGATTATATGTAGAGAGATACATTAATTATCAGAGTCTATGGGAGTTGTTTTAGCAACCGCTTGAAGATTCAAGATACGTGGCTCAGCTGGATCAAACATAGTGTGTATATTTTAAATGCTTGATTGATCTGTAATTCCCCACAGCTCAGCTCAAACTGTGAATTGTAACGAACTAATGTATGCACAGAGCCCAGCTTTGATTAAGTGTCTACCATTGTTGAGCTCAACTGATCCTATAAGAATAATTTAAACCAAATAATTTCAGTATAACATGTGCAGTGACCAAGGCTGAAGGTGGAAGTCAAGGCAACACAAGTCAAAGTTTTACTAAATATTAAGGCAGAAATTAAAATTCAAGACATTATCATTTCTGGTAAAGATCCCTAAAATGTGTTAAATCCAGCATGTACACACACAACATGAGTCATATTTTTCCAAGAGGAAAAAATACGTGTGGCCGATGTCAAGTCTACTGACACTGGCAGACTAGTCATAAAGTCTGGGTCATATTTATGCCCTCAGGACCCTGATGTGATGAGCAGCTCACAGCTAACACAGTCTGCAATCATAACAAATATATGCACACTTACATGCACTTGATGCAAGCACGAAAACACACAACACCCACATCTACTATCTACATTAGTCACTCTTAGGCTGGGATAAAACCGGCAGGGCTTAGGGTATTAATGGGGCTAAAATAGTCCATCATCAGATGAACTGACAAGCTGCAAGTTATTTTGCCTGCACACAAAAGTGCCAGCAGAAGCAGAATGGTTTTGGTAAGAGGTATAGCCTGGTTTAAAACAGTAGCCTGTAGTCTTTTAAGGCCAGACTGCAGCAATTTAATTCCTTAATCTGTGTAATAAATATAAAAACTCCCACAGGCTATGCTATCTGCTTGGCTCGCTGGATCAATATGAGGCTACACAAGTAAGCTATTAGAACAGGATATACTATTGGCAGCAGAGCATTGGCCAAATCTGCAGCATGACATAATTTAGCCTAAAGTTGGCCTAATTCCTCAATACGGCATTGACATTTGTTTCTGTCTCTGTCACTTAGGCCTGCATAAAAACATGTATTATAATGAGTAGTGATGTAAATGATAATACACAGCAAGTTAAGTATCTACATTTATAAGAGGTGGATTCACACATTACCATTTTAATGTCTGCAACATGTAGGTCTACGACACCTCAAGATTGATTTCAATTCATACATCCATTCTTTAGTGTCAAACTATAACCAACTAAACACTGGTCACAACAAAAACAGCCTTGACTTCACAATATAAGATGATGCATAGATTCACTGCCCCCATCAGACTGGTCAAAACACTTCCACAAGAGCCACTGTTTCTTACACAATTGCATCTGTGTCCAATAAAAGAGCTCAACACACACACACAGACACACACAGACACACACGACAACATGATTCATTGTTGCTATAAACCCTGCGTATTGCCAAGGCATGACATTAAAGCTTCCAGAGGCTTGGCCTGGACTGGAAGTATCAGTTGTCTTTTGTAGCCATGCCACAAAGTTATCCCCCCAGTATGACACAAAGCTGGTCGTAGGGAGGTGGCCCGTCACCAGTGGCTAGGTCAGCATTTTGCAGAACGCACTGCGTGTGTGTGTTGTCAAAAGGAGGGGCTACACGTAGAGAAGAAATATACAGCCAGTAACAGCTACATGGATAAACTAGATCCCCGCAAGTGATTTTGTCTGAGACAAATCAATCAATCATAGATATGATTGATTTGTCAGAGATTTAGCATATTGATCATCTGTAAGTTGCTAAGGAAATCACTGAAATCAGTGCTGGTCAGGTTATGAAAAGCAACAGAGGGGAAGATAAGAAAAACATAAAGATGCTGAAGTGAGAAGCTACGTGTATGGTAGAAGTAGGGGTTCAGGTGATAAATCAGTCGACGTGGCCAGAAAGAATCTGAAAACTATATTTAAACATTAGGGCCCTGAAGCTTACGGAGTTTATCACGGAAAACTCACTGAATCACAAACACACACAATGAATCACAAACACACACAGTGAATGACACACAGACAAACTGCTGGAAGGTGGAGCAGCTGTGAAGTGAGCAACTGTTGAAATGCATGTACCCATGAATGAATGCAAAGAACACACACACACAGGAGGAGGAGGAACTGAACATGGGGGCATGTGAGGCGACATATACAGCACACCTTACATCACATTACAAACAAAAAATAACAGATGGGGCAACGATGTAAATCTAACCTGTAAATATTGCAGCGATCATCCCTGTGTCTTACAGAATCACAAGGATAAATAGTGTCTGTCAGGGGAACTTCAGACATATTTATTTTGGTGGACTTCTTATTGAATCTGGTTAAATATCCCACTCTGTGAAGCCTCTCGAATGAATTTACTTCTGTTGATTTCCTCCAACATTTCAAAACAGCGACAGAAATGCAACATTCGGTTCGAATTAGATTAAACAAACACCCGCCTAGTGATTCATGTTTTTAAATTAAAATGTTCCTGGGTGCTCAGACACTGCTGTTGAAACGACTGGCTGCTAGCTGACGCGTTAGCAGCAACTTGGCGTTGGAAGCAAAACTTAGCTAGAAGAGCTAACGCCGTAGCTAAGCTAGCAGCGTTAGCCGGGGCTACACAAACTCAGAACACCGCAGTCGTGCGCTGGCGATAACACGAGGGTTTTGAATTGGAATGAAAGTGTGTGTTAAATTCATTGATTGTAAAAAAAAGAAATACAAAAAAAGAAATACACGTTCAACGCAGGTTCGCCATTCAGCGAGTCGACATCGCCAGGTCGTTAGCCAGCCTGAGCTAACCCATGAAGAAGTCCATCGTGAAAATCAAAACAAACGTCTCTCCGAGTGGCGACATAAACCTGACACTCACATCTTCCACTGCAGCAAACAACCGGCTCCCCTCACACGAGCCCTCGGGCAGAGAAATGTGGGTTTTCTGCCGCTCAGTGCGGGAACATTCATGATATTTCCCGCTGTGATAACGCCTATTTTTCACTGTTTATTTTGGGCCTAAGCGACGCTTGGAAGCCCTGGCCTCTTTCCTGCGCTGCGGAGCCGCTGACAGTGACAGCAGCCTCGGCCCCGTTGTCCCACCGCGTCGCCCTCTCGGCGCATTGTTCCAACACAGTGGTGTATTTTGATTTGTTTTCCTCCTCCCTACCTGGCGCACTGCAGTCGGCGCAGACTTCCGTCCTCTGAAGCTTCCTTGACATCTCGGAAAGTGGAAGAAACCGAGAGGTGGATGTCGGCGATGATGTGGCTGCTCGCCCTCTTCCCCCCGAGCTGCCGACCGACGTCTGCCGTCAACCGATGCGGCCCCTGAATCCCCGGAAGCCGGGTGGTGTGATCGGTTTTCCCGGGCCAGCTGACAGCTGGATTTCCCGTTTGTTCCTGCGGTATCTTCGCCCACGTTCACCACTGAGCTGCAAGTCTGCAGCGAAGTTCAGTGGACATGGTTCATCTGGCTGCTGGAGTGAACCACCATGTCTGAATATTTACTAAAAACTGTTCACCGCATTGCCCGCAACTCACCGAGAGACGGCAGCTTTCTACCTGTCAGCTCGCACACACACACACACACACACACACACACACACACACACACA